TATCGATATCGGTTATCGGCTACATGAGTTTTAAAATATCGGCATATCGGATATCGGCCAAAATCCCGATATCGTGCATCCCTACTTACATCACTGGCCTCTATTGTCCAACACAACTTGTTCTTTTCATATTATGCATGCACTAGTATATATTGATGTCCACTTCCTGCAGGTATGTTGCTGTATTTTAATTTCTTGGATCTATTCAGACGTCTATAATCAGACCTGCTTTAAATGACAGAAACACCTAAAAGTCTTGTTAAAGAACAAATTATTTCTTTCCTCCCTGTAATTTTTTCATAGAGAATTATGCATCTTCTGTGTTTTTCTTTGTTCCCTGCTGTTTATTATTAAACAGCGTTGCTGCTCTTAATTCCGGCTCGATTCTTTGTGAAACAGGAAAGCAATCTAATTCCTTTTCCCTGTGATTCTCTGCAGCTCTTTGATGGAATTGAATGCGAGTTTCCCATGTTTTTCATCTACATGATGATTGACGGTAAGCCTCATTTTCTGCTTGGCTGCTGGTTTGGTGCCTTAATAGGGAGAGAAAGAAAAGAAAGACCTGATTCTAAAAGGTTTTTAACATGTTTATGAAATTAAGCAGGAATTTGGGAAACAAAAGTTTATGTAACATAAATATGATTGAGACTAAACCTGCTGTTAAACTGGATACAACAATTTTTAAATCCAAAGCATACAGAGTCACACTCTCTGCATGAGGGACCTAAAATATAAAGAAGGAAAAAGGGCAAATCTAAAAAAATCTAAAGGTAAAAATAAATCAGGATAGTTTAAAGTTTAGAACTTCAACTTAATCTTATCAGTTTCGCTTTAGTTTCCCACATCCCACATTTTTTCCACATTATTATAAGGATGGTTGTGATTTAAAAAAAAAATGCAATTAATCTCCACACTGGAAAAACGATCTAGAAATAAGTAAAAAAAACCTTAAATTATGTGTATTTACCCTTAATTTGAGTAGGTTAATGAGATGATTTGTCAATGGAATTAAAATAAGATATTTAGATAAAATGCACTTGAAATAATAAAAATGCAATTGTGTTTCCTTATTTAAATGTAAAGTGTCTTGTTCCATTGGCAAAATGTCTGTTATGCCTTCTCAATTTAAGAACAAATTAACTTATTTTAAGAAAAAAATGACTTATCTAGATTTTACATTTTTCCTGTGCAGCTTGGAGAAGTCCAGCACAGTGTCTGTGGAAGGGGCGGAGCCACATTTGTATTCACTGCGACCTACGCAGACGACCTGGTTTCTGAGTA